TTGTGGACAATTCTTAACTGCTAAAAAAGTAAATATTACTTATAACTGTCATATTTTTTAAGATACTTTGGAAGTATTATACTTGTAAATACATTTTTATGTTTGTTAAATGTTTCAAAAATTGGTTTGATTAATAAAATATTAATTACAAAAAGAAATGAAAAGAACAAACCTGCAAGGCAGTAGGACAGATACTAGTATACGAATTGGTAAGGCTACAATTTAAATACCATTGAATATAATCACATTTGCGATCACTAATTCCGTCTTCAAATTCCTAAATATTTGCTTCTCCAAACTTTTATGTCACGCGTAATTTGTATATTTTGAGTGCTTTAGAACAAACTGTCATAATTTTATTCAAAAAAAATATTTGCATATTATTTAGTCTTTGGAATTCAAATTCGAAAAATTTTGACTGACGTTTGAATGCTATAAATACGTTGAAGGTGATAGATTATAAATACTTCAAGCTTTTGTATTTTATTGATAACTTATAACAAATCGCACTGCTCTCTTATCAGTAATACTTCATTTTTTCGTAATGATTCTGCTAATTAATAAACGTGAAAAAATCTTTGTTTGTATTTCTAAACTAAATATCAGTCTGTATTACAAGTTGACAATAACGACTGAAATTTTTGAAGCAACATTTCATATATTTGTTTGAAAATTATGCTTTAATATTAGTCAACAATAAGTAAGTAACTAAAAAATTCATGCAAATTTTTTTTGGTACTTGCATTTTCAAAATATATAGCAAATCTATGACTACATAAACTGAAAATAAAAATATATAATTTTTTAATTGTTGACCTCATATTTTCGTACGACAAGTGGATGACCTGTCTCCGCCAGTCATTCGAAAATTATTTAAAGTTTTTACTAAAATTCTTATTCCTTTCAAACACTTTTACCTTATAAAAAGTAAAACAAATAGTTAAAAAATAGCAATAAGTTTTTTATAACCGTAACAATACTATTAGACAAAATAATAAATCGACAAAAATAAAAATAAAAACTTCCTTAATTTTGTTTCAAATTTTCAAGAATCAAAATTTTCTCAAAACTCTATTCTTAAAAGACTTCTGAAGTTTTTAACAGATTTAGCCCACGCATTACTTTGTAAAAGTTTTTTGAAGATGAAAAATAAATAAAAATAATGATAAAGTAAAGCAGAAATTTAATGCTTGAAATGATAATAAGTTTAATATTATTAATGTTAAACTGTGGTGGCATTAATTTTTCAAATAGTTAAGATTTATGCAATCTAATTTTAAGACACAAAAAAGTTTTATTATAATAAAATGTGATTCTCCAAAACTGACACTTCGGAAGATGATTCTTTCGTGATCGTTCTGAAGAAGACTACCTCGTGAACATTCAGGCAAATGAGTGTAATGAGAGTGATGCTCGTGAAGACAAGGCTGATGCAATGCTAATTTTGTTTGAAAATCCTTAGAGCATATCTTTTTGAAAAAGTATTCCATATACAAATTTTTTAGCCTGAATTTAATACTAATACTTATTTATACGTATAAGACTAATATTAAATATTATACAAGCAAATGCAAGTTGAAAACTGCAAATCTGATCCAATGTAAAAATTTTTAAAGATTCAGATCAATTATTTCAATTGTTCAGATCAATTAATTCAATTGTTCAGATCATTCAATTCAATTATTTCAATGATATTAATTAATATGCTTAATTTAATAATTTTGATGGTATTAATTGATGAAATAAGTTCTTTTCTTTATTTTTTGAATTTCCAACTCTTATAAACTTATTTTTAATTATTTTAAATGAAAAATACTTAAAGGAAATACATTAAATACCAACTTGCACTCAGTATGATAATTCTCAGTACAATTTTGATATTCATTATAGAATTTGCAAAGTTCAATTGGTGCATCCAAAAATGGTTTCTCGAAGAGATATTGGCCAAAATTAAGCTTATCCAAAAATGGAGCCAAACATTCTCGAACAATTAGCTGTTCCGTCTCAAAATTGCAGGGAGACTCGCTTTTTTTACACTCTGTATACTAACACAAGTTAAATTTCAATCTAGTGGACATTATTGAAAACATAACTATATGTTTTTAACTTAAAAATTATTAAACATGCAAAAATATTACCAGAAAGCAATCAAAATAATCATAAAATTATGCAAAACTACAGTGTATTTTCAAAATTTCCGTAGTATTTTAAATTAAAAATGATAAAATATTGAAAACTTGACCATAATGACCAATGGCAAAATGCAGGAATAGGATGATGACGATGCAGCGCATACTTTGTAAAAGATGAACAGTGCTTGAATTAAGTATCGAATACTAACTGATCTCACCTAGCATTCTCTTACGCGTTCACTTTGACCTCTAACAATTAGGACATGCAATATGGATTTTTTGCTCGTTAAAGGTCTTAGGTCACTACAGCTGTCCAACTCATTCTGTTTTCAGTTTTGTTTTTATTCAGTGTGGTATAATTTGGCAAGTGCTCAAGTAACTAACTATGGCATTGTTTGAGATCAGTGCTTATTTACCATCAGTTTTAATTTCAAATGACCTTTAACCTTGAGTAATAATTCTTCCTTATGCACTAAAAGCTTTTGAAATGTGGAAGAGAAAACGATTTGTAACTTCTGAAAAGGAAATAATTATTAATCATTGTGTTACTTTCAGCTTCCGATTTTCGAGTAATACTTACTTATTATTCATCGTGATGAGTACATTATTAGTGATGTATATGAAGTTTTCATCTGGCATTAAATTATGCAGCAATGAATCGTTTGTATCACAAGTCATACCCATAAAATGGATCGAAAATGAAAAAATCGGTACAATTCATTTTATTACTATAATTAATCATGATTATTAAGTATTGTCCTCAGAACTGACTTGCAGTTAGAACCACAATCAAACCACTCAACATTATTAGATAAAAGATAGTGCAATCAAGCAATAACAATCCATTATTCGAAATTACTTTCAATGAGTGTTGTGTTGCATAATTTTGAACTAAATTACTTACTATTCGCGGAAAAATTTATTTTTTGACCTTTGACCTCGGCAAAATCTTTAAATATTTCAATTGTTAATAACATCGTAACACGTATTCAGTCCAATTTTGATCTCTAATCTCTGAACAAGTAATTTATAATTCACACTCCTCTTCGATTTTTGTCATTTACTTTTCCTCGCATAACTCGTCCTATTCCTGCTCTCAGCGATCGTTTTACGCTCATTTTTATAGAATTTTCATTATAGGCACACACGCAAATAGCATAAAACTTTAATCACGCATTAGTGAGTAAAATTGATTTACGTGTAGAAATAGCTAAACTTACGTGTAGAAAATTAAAAGTTGGATGAATGGCGTTGTTTTCCCTCTTTTTACAGCATAAATCTACCTCATTCTTTAGACAATCAAACTCTGCATCAATGCTTTATTTTCTTTGTTTCTTTGCTCTCTAACTTTCTGCTTTAGTCATTTCTTGTATGTACTTATTTGCCTTCATTTTAGCTATGCAATAAACGTAATTTGTGTGGAAAACTTTGACGTGATGTATTGTGCTTAATATTTTCTAAACATTATATCGATGAATTAATTAGCAGTTTACAAATGACCTTTGCATGACGTGTCACTTATTGAGAGTGCGGTGGTGGAGTGAGTGAGTGATGCTGTCATCGATTACACTTCCTTTTCACGTGATAGACTGCTTCACGTTAAGATTTTGGCTTTTATTTCATTTACAACATATATTATCATGCATTGCTACTCATAAATTTGTGTAGTAATTTGCATTCCTGGCGTGCGGATGGCAGAGATGGTTTGGTGTATGTTAAGAGTATCTGTGGCTTATAAATATCTCTTGAAATTTTAGCGAAACGTGGATTTTAACTTTAGCTGAAAAGTAATTAGTCTTAAACGCTTAATTAACGAATTATTACTTGAAGTTTGATGACAAATATGCCCAGAACTTTAGTTAAAAAATTAGCTCTAATTTTCGTTTTAAAAAAGTTTCATTTTTGTTTTTTATTTTAATTAGTGCTAGAAGTTATTTTTTGAGAGTTGTTAACAGTATGTATCGAAAATTTGACTTATATCAATATTTTTTATTGCTTTCAATCATTAGAATTCGACTTAACAGAAATTTAAAAGAAAGCAAGAATGAAACTTTTCTCTAGTAATTAATTAGTTGGTTTATCTCTTTTTATTTGTAACTTACTTCAGAAACTTAGTGTTGTATCGAAATTAATGAAGTATTTGTTGGAGAACATGGAGTTAGCTTAATATCGAATCCTGCGTTTAAACATAATTGTAATATGTAGTATTTGTTTCTCCATCAAGTACTAAAAATTTGTTATATAGTCTCATAGCTTACAAGTTTATTCATGTGGTCTGTTTTAAGAGGCAAGTGACTTATTTTTAATTCTGGAGTATTGAGTTATTATATTGTTTGTTGGTAATTTTTCTTATTTTACAAATTTAAAGGAAGCAATCAATGGCTGGGCGAACAACAGTGCGTTCTGGTAGTGTTGGTGGTGTGAACAAAACTTGCCAGTTCAAGTTGGTTTTATTGGGTGAAAGCGCGGTTGGTGAGTGTTTTTATGAGCTAAGTAAAATGTGAAACGAAACAGCTAAATTTTTATGAAATTAATTTTTGAAAACAGGTGAATATGAATCGTGAAATGTAAATTTGCAGGCAAGTCGTCATTAGTTCTGAGATTTGTTAAAGGCCAGTTTCATGAATATCAAGAATCGACAATCGGAGCAGCGTTTCTCACTCAGACTATTTGTCTGGATGACACTACTGTAAAATTTGAGATATGGGATACTGCTGGACAGGAGAGGTCTTTGCTTGAAAACATTTTTAATAAAAAATAGTCCATTTTTGTGAGTTTTTTGAAAAATATATAGAAGCTACTATTTTAGGTTCAAGTATTTTATGCAGATTGCGTTACTTGAAAGTTTTGTTTACAGTCATTTTTGTTAGTTTTTGTCAAATTTCCAGATACCACTCATTAGCACCAATGTATTACCGTGGAGCTCAAGCTGCTATAGTTGTTTATGATATTGCCAACCAGGTTACTTTTTATAGTAATATCAAAGTGTAAATTAAGTGCATTCTAATGAACACGTAACGTGATCAATTTTGAAAGCAGTGAAATAGTTGAATATTGACTATTTTCACTATCAGAGCTACTGCAATATTGAAACAAGCTGTGAAAGTTTGCGGATTATTCAGAATTTTTAAAAGAATATTACTTTTAGATTATTTCGTAGCTGTGTAAAAAAATTGCTCAAGAAAACATATTTCGTAGGCTGGCAATATGAACACTTTTTCGCAACTCTGAATGTATTAATTGTTGCTAACTTTATGTTTATTTTATATGACATGTTTTATACATAAATTACAGGAATCATTTGCAAAAGCCAAAAATTGGGTAAAAGAGTTGCAGCGGCAAGCTAGTCCAAATATAGTGATTGCGTTGTCAGGAAATAAAGCTGATCTTGTTAATAGACGAGTCGTTGAATATGAGGTAGTTGAAAGTGCTATTCAGATTCTGTAGCTACTGTGTAATATTTTTCGTTATTTTAAAAATGTAATCATTTATTTATTGTTATTTTCTATCGATTCTCACTATTTTAATTAAGCAGTTTGTTTCTCGAAAATCAGTTTTGAAATGTACATAAGAGGATGCTATGGTTTGTAAATCTGTCTGCTTAAATGTATGATACATTTATAGGAGGCACAAGCATATGCAGAGGACAATGCTTTATTGTTTATGGAAACGTCGGCAAAAACGGCAATGAATGTAAATGATATTTTTCTCGCAATTGGTAAATCTTTGTTTAATTTCGTTCAGCCAAAAAAGGCAGATTTTAGAATTATATGCTGTTTTGTGATGTCGCCTGATAAATCAATCATTTCTTGTTAATAAATTAGCTATGTTCATGTAACATAGTTATTTTCAGCCAAGAAACTACCAAAAGGTGATGCAAGTGGTGGTGGTCCATCTGGACGTGGTTACGAAGGAATAGACATCAGTCACGAAGGTCAAGGCCAAGGTGTAAGCTCTGGTTTATGCTGTAAATAATACTGACTAGCAACAATATCAGCAGCAACAAGAGCATATTTTGTTCGATTTCTCACGAGTAGTGAGCAGCGTTTGCTGGCCTCAGCAAACATCAGCCTTTTATTATTATCAGTTTAAAAAGTCTGATATATATTTTGCATTATGAATGCAAGTTTCTTCATTATTGTGAGGGTGCGTGGAAGAGCATTTTGATAACATAATTAAGTTGTTCTTTGTTTCTTTATTATATGTAGTGTAAAACTTGCATAAGTTCTAATTTTTTGAAGCTTAGCATTCTATGCATATTTTGTAGGAAAAAATTTTCGTTGCTTTAGTTTTATATCAAATTAGTATAAAAAGCAATTTATTCATTGCTCTTCTCACGCTTTCATACTTTATGTAATAATTTTTGATGATATATTTCTATTATTTTCTAAAACGATCCTGAGCTGAGTTTTATCATCGGTGAATAAGAGTAGATCAGTTTTGTATCCGACACATAGTTTATGTAATTTTTTCCAGAAGCTGATCAAGTCTTTCTGAATATTGTTTCCTAACCACAGATGGTATTGCATTGAACTTCTGAATTTATCAAACAGGATTATTTTTTAAAAGGTTGTCCCCAAATGTTTTCATTTGTCTTTTTTCAGTTGATCGAACGAATTATTTGTCCCATTCTCATACTATAATCTGTTGTAAAAAGGAATGTTTCTTCGATTCCTTTCTAAAAAACTGAAACACTGATTTGAAATCATTTTTTTGTCAGCTTTTTCGATATTTACTGTTCGAAATCCTGTTTTATATCGTTTAATTTGAATTACAGAAATTTTCAGCGTGGAAAAATAATCCTGAAGAAAGATTTCTAAACTTTAAAGTATGCATATTTTCAAGTTGCTTTGTCTTATTCCAACTGGAGTTGTGATAATTATTTCATGAAATATAACAGTTTCATGACTAGAATAAAAAATTCTTTAAATGTAATATTATCTGTTTTTGTTTAGTAAAAGTCTACTTTGTGTATCCTTACATCACTTATTAGATGTTCTTTGCTCACTGTTCTCAAAATCAGGTAGTACATTCTTGGGATTGTTTCGTTTAAATTCTAGGATAAAATAGGCATATACATCAGGCAGAAAAACTTCATAGTTATGTATTATGCATTTTGAGGAAACTTTGATATCAGTTTTCAATTCTAGAATGTCAGTACTATAGTTTTATTATTTCAGTTGTGAATGCTCAATGTTTATGAGAGCATCCAGTGTGGAGCGCCAGAGACTGGCGGATCGGGATGTTGAGCGTGTTTGCATTCTTAAGGATGAATGCTCTACGTTAGAAGCTGCAGTTAGTGAAAATTTTTGTATATTTTTTATAAACTTCAGCGATAAATTCGTCCACATTTTTCTAAAAAAGTAAGGTTTGCTATTATTTTCCACTAACTAGAATTTATTAGATAAATGTTCTGTTTACTTAGTTGGTCATATTAATCCGTATTCATATCAAAAACATCGTTATCTTTTTGCTCTTATCCATAGCCAAATTTTTATATAATCGACTTTCAGAGCTTTCTGAATGCTTAACAAGTGCAACTTTAAGTTTATTCAGATTTTTGCTTATCACTGACTTTTAATTGCTATGCTGTAAAATATCTTTGCTGTACCTATATATTTTTAAAATCCATTATATAGTCATTTTTTACATATCTTTATATTCCAATTGCATATTTTTAATAGTCATTTTTTCCATCAACCTCGTTCACCACAATTCCATTTATCATCATTTTTCTTTGTTCTCATTTCATGTTTATTTTAAGAATAGTTTCGACTGGGAAAAAGATGGATGGGATCCACGCATGGTGGGTCTATTGTCTGATTCATTGGTGACGTCTAGTGTACAGTCCGTTCGTAGGCTGACCAAAGAGGTGTGTTTAAATTACTTTGTCCAGTACTTTTCTGTTAATGACTTTTGATCACATTTTTGTAGATGAGACAGTTGCGAATAAATCCCGTGAAATATTGTTTAGCGGCTCCTAGTGCAGATAATATCTACAAATGGACTGCAGTTATTGATGGACCCAAGGATACCGTTTATGAAGGTGGTACTTTTTTCTTAGAAATAACTGTGCCATCGTCATATCCCTTTAATCCACCTAAGGTATGTATAGTAATATTTTTTTTTGCAAATGTTCATGATAGAACGCAAATTTTGCTAATACAAAATTCTAATATAATTAAAATTTGTCTAAAAAGAGGTTAGTTCATTTTACTACAAAGCTTAATCGAAAGCATTCCATTACTAATAAGTTTTTTTCGAAGTTCATACTATATTTTTTTAGTATTATGAGGATTCTCTTCAGGTACAATTTTTGACCAGGATATACCATTGCAATATCAATCGTCATGGTGTTGTGGACATTGATGTTTTACGTGATAGATGGAGCTCTTCAATGACCATATCTACAATTTTGGAAGAAGTCGTTGCACTTCTATATGAGTGTAAACCTGGTAAATTCAATTCATCATGAACTTTCAAGTAAACATAAATTATTAAAGTGTTCAACTTTCCATACAGCTTTGTTTTGCTTTTTCTCAGTCTTTGTTTAAATTTTTAGGACTTTATTTTATTCCACATTCAAAGTTATGATGTAACTCTTTGTTTTCTAGAGAATGCGCTGCTTCCGAATATTGCGGAACAGTATTGCAATAATCGCAGGGAATTTGATGTAACAGCGCGACTGTGGACGCTACGATTCGCTTGTTAATTAAAGCTGGAGAATCATATTAATTTTTTTTATTAATAGACAAAATTTATTGAGGACATATAATTTATACTACACTACCTTTAGCACACAATCGTATATTAGTTGAGAATTTAATGCTCAGTTTTGGAGATATTTTCTAAGAGCTTTTATTAGCATTTTTTAAATGTATTTCATTTCATCTGTAGGAAAGTTTGTCTTTCGTGCTTGTTGTGTTTCTTCAATGCAATAAATTTATTTCCCGTGCAGTCAATTTGTTCTATAAATATTTATTCATGACGTTGTTTCATATTTTACTTTTTTCTTCGAATGAGGGAATCATACTGCAATCGATCTTATCAAAAATATTAAATCGGCTTGGTTTAGTCAGTTTTCGTTTTGTTCATCCCGTAGTAATACATGGTTCTGTTAAGGATGTTATTAAGAGATTGTTTTGAGTTATTAACAATGTTATGCTGTCTTCTATACTAAACTATTTACTAGCGTTCGTAGAATACATAAAGCGATGATTGAATATGACGTTGCATCTAACTTAGTAGACTTTTCTTTCGTTTCAGTGAATACGAATCTCATCAATCTGTGCCACAGAATTCAGTAATCAATATCTAGGAATGAGTACTCTCGAAGGAGCTCGAGTAAGTCTGCTGGCATGTGGTAGCTATAATCCACCCACAATCATGCACCTCCGGATGTTTGAAAGTGCTCGAAGTTTTCTGGAATGCCGATGCGGGTGTGAAGTGGTGGAAGGAATTCTGAGTCCAGTAGCTGATTATTTTGGCAAACCTGACTTACTGCCTGCAGCTCACAGGTGATCTATACTAATTTGTTTTTAACCTTTTCGTATATGCAGACGTTTTTTCTGGAAAGAGTTTGCTAACTTATTTACAAGTTGTTTACTCTCTATAAACAGAAATTTAATTAGCCATGGGGAATTCCAGGTTGAAGATGTCAGACTTAGCTGTAAAAACTTCGTCCTGGATTCGAGTCGACCCATGGGAGTGTACTCAGAGTCACTGGACTCGAACTCTTTCAGTTCTTAAGCATTTCAAGCAGGTACTGAATTGCAATTTCAATGGCAAGCGTTTAATGTTATTATGCGGTGGAGATGTCGTAGATTCATTTAAACAGATAAAACCATCTGGCGATTACTTGTGGGAGCCTTCAGATGTCGCTGCTATTATACGAGATTTTGGTGAGTATTAAAGATCTCGAAAGAGATTGATACAGTTATTAATGCAGTATGACCGAAATTAAATCATAAGTTTTTTTGAAGTATTTTTTCGATAAACTATCGTATTTTGAAGGATTGGTTGTACTCGCCAGAGAGAATACAAACCCACTGAATACTTTAAGTCAGCTTGGCTACAATGGTCATTGTTTGAAGAATGTGGTTGTTTTTGAAGATCCGGTCATGCCTAATAACATTAGTTCTACACGTTTGCGAGCTGCAATTCGACGTGGAGAATCTATAAAGTATTGTACAACAGATGCTGTTATCGAATATATCGCTAAGCATGAATTGTACCTTCCCAGGAACAATCGAACTTCAAGTTTTCCTTAATTGATAATAAATTAACCTGTCTATTCTTGTTTTTTAACTAATTTTTTATGTAGGGTAAGTCTTGTAAAATAAATCTCACTAATATGGGAGGATTTGTCTACTTGCAGTTTAAAAAACGGTTTATACCAATTGTAATCTCGTTTTAATTATTAATTTTATTTTTTGGTTGTAATACGTTTAAAAACAATGGGCATGAAATTTTTTAAATCAGTTTAAGTAATTTTTTGTAAAAGTTTAAGTAATAACGTGAAAACTAACGTATTGTGCACAATTTGTTTACTTTACTCTTTTTTAATGTCATTATTGACTCTAATGCGTGATATCCTGTGAAGTCAGGTTGTTTAGTCTGACCAAATTCAGTGTCTTTCAATATCTTAAATTTTAAGGATCTTTTTTAGGAATAAAATTTAATGACTTTTATTGTAGCTGAAAGCACATTCGATCTTTTTTTTCAAGGTATTGTGATTCTTCTTAGTTCTTAAATTAAATGTGAATTGTTTGTTTGGTCACTTTTCCTTGATTTCCAAGCCGTATTAAAAGTATGAGACAAATTTTATCATAGCATATTTTTAGTAATGTATGAAAATTAACTGGCTGGTTTGTGTTATCAAGGAAGAAAATAGCCACTCAATCTTAATATTAATTTATATCACGTAGTCGACTAATGAATAGTAAAAAAATTTTTAAAATATTTTAATTGTATTTGTTTCTGGAAAATACGGGTTCTTATGTATTTCAGTCCAAAAATATTGTTTCACTTAGCTGCACTGCTCATTACTTAATTTTTGCCAGCATTCTTTAAAGTGCTTTAATACGTTTTCTTTTCTCAAATTTTGCAAGCAGTTGTTTTTATCTGAATAAAATTCCGTAATTGATGTCTAATTTCAATTTTTTTCAGTTTTATTGAGGGTAAAGGTGCAATGTTACTAAAAAAGTGTGAGTTGTTCATATATGCGTTTTTTAAAGCCTTGTTTGTGTAATGTATTGTCGTTTGTTATTAATGCATAAATCTTTTATACAGTTCTAAAGACGTTAAGTTTTGGCATCTTTTCCTGGTTTATTATGTACTTCGTGATATTTTTACGATGGTTTTTGATCTACACAATTAATGGTTGATGGATCTGATGGGTGTTTAAGTTATAGTACTACAAGAGCAAGAATTTCAGCAAATAGAGCTTAAAGATATGTTACTGAAAAAGTGTGAGTTAAAGATATAAATGTTAGGATTCTATAGACTGATATTGAAAAGATTGTGTAAGGCACAAGAAGAAAGCGTATTTCCACTACTTTTTTGTTGATTCGCTGACTAACATAAATTTTGAATGCAGCAAATATTTGTCAAAAGGAAAGTTTACTTGCGATGGGTTCTGTAGAAGAGAAGTTCGTGTCGGAGCTTACAGATCAAGGTGTCCCTACAGCTGAAGTGTTGGTTAGCAATAAGCACTTTATTTTTTGAAATTTTATTCATATGTGAACTGATAGATTGAAATAGTCTTACTTTTGTTTAGAAACAATACTGATTACGTACAAATATCGTTTCATGAGACTTTAATTTTCAAGATAAGAAAAAGAAAAGTTAAAATTCCCGTATGACCAAAAATTACAGAGATTTTTGGCATCTAAATTTGTCTATTTTCTAGGAGGATGTCGCAGCTTTCTTGAAAACAGAAGGAGATATAGGCGTAGAAGAGGGCATCCGACGTCTGGAAGCAGTTTACAGGAAGTATAAACAGGTTGAGCAACAACTAATTGAACAAAAGCTGAGGTAATTTGATGAATTTATATCATGATAATTTGCTGTATTTCGCACTATATGTAATGTATATTAAAACTTGTGCCTTGTTACTGTTTCGGAAGATTTTTCTGGGATCACTCGTTTGTTTATTGCGACCAAAAACTTTATAAACAATTTATACTTCATAAGTATTAAAAGATTGAAAACGTATCATATCAAATGTTGCAGATTGGCATCAAAGCTGCCCGACCTGAAAAAATCAGTAGAAGTTGTTGATCATTTAGAAGCGAGTTCGGTATGCTAAGCCTGCATCTGTTTTTGTACTTGACTATCACTGATTTTCAATTTTCCATATACGTTTCTGTTGAATTTTCAGGGCAAAAATGAGACCTTGGAGATAACACATTTACTGAGCGACCATGTTTATCAGCGAGTGAAAACTGAATCTTTTGATAAGGTCGTTATATTTGTTATTTAATTCCTTTTGTAAGTGCTACTTAGTTGAACTGAGTCATAATTTATGTGCGAAAAATTATTTAGGTGCTTCTCTGGCTCGGTTCTAATGTTATGGTAGAATTCACTTTAGCTGAAGCGCGAAAAATATTAGAAGATAATTACAAAACTGGTAAGTGCTTTGCTTATAATTTTTTATTTTTATAAAATTACAACAAACCATGTCTATCTGAGGCAGACAGCCAGATATTTTTGAATTATTGTAAAATCAAGTAGGCACTCGTTCTTAAGGACTATAATGATTCACTTTGCATTTTTCATTTCCAAATGATTGCTAATTATAGAAAAATATTTTTTCAGCTAAAGATGGGGTGGACAAATACGAACGAGAGTTATCATTTCTCAAAGATCAAATAACAACAACAGAAGTGAACATAGCCCATGTTTATAACTACGGAATTCGACTGAAAGCAGTACGAAGTTCTTACTATCACTTTGCATATTTTGCTAATTAGATACTCTTTCATGAATCTCACAGAAGATACATCAGTGTTTTTAGGCAGCATCTGCAACATCTGCAGAACTTTCTTGAGTCCGCAACTTCATAACATATTAAGATGGCATGATTTGGATCCCGTACTCGAATGATGTGCTGGTTGAGGTTGAGATTACCGTATATTTTATTGATGGCTTTGTACATTCAAACATCTGAAATTAATGTAACAGTTATATTGTTTGCTACGTAGCCTACGCATAATTCAAAAATCCTAACTTGTGACCAGATCTACTACAGCTTTTCAGATTTTATAAAAGGCAATAAATCTTTTTAATGACTGGCACTGTTTGAAAAATCACCACGTCATGGATTTCCAAATCAAATCTTCAAAGTAACATTTATTGCACGGTTTACCATTTTTTATCATCGCTATTTAAATTACCATGTTGTATTATGTGCAAATATCAAAATACCACTTTATTCATGATTGGTGATAAGAATATAAGAATGAAAAGTTCATAAGAACGTGTTCGCAATTTTTGAAATGGAAGAAAAACGTCTTGTGACTTGAGCAAAGCAATAAATTTGAAGTTGAAAGGCACAGAAGGACGAAAAGAAGAATGAAGAAAACCAAATTTCAGGGAACTGGGAGAGCGAATGTGCTAGAGTTGATATAAAGAGCATTGCTATATTAGAGATTTTCATATTCAGAAAATAGAAAAGTATGTTTTACATTTGCAAATAATACAATCGCATACACTACACATTGTTTATGTACAATTAGAAATTATAAAGATACGCTAAATTCTTCGCTACAGAAATAAATTCATTTTTAAGTTTTTCGTAGCTTAAAATTTGCCTTGAATTGAAATCAAAGTACAATAAAGCAAAAGAAATATTTAAGATTCACTTTTTATTTACTAAAAAATCGGAAGACAGAACTCATAGAGCAATGTCATATCAATTTCAGGAGTTTCAGTTTCTGTTACCTCATAAACAATTTGCACAAGAGGAACAGTCTGACATATGAGAAGAAAAATGGATAGGAATAAGTGAGACTTGAAAGATGCATGTTAGTTACCGGTAAGTACAACCGATCCTTTTTTCTGGGAACAGTACGGAGACACATTATGTTATCTCCACGTGTTTATGAACTGCCTGAAAATAAAAGTATAAAAGAATAAAAGTTTACGAGTAAAGGAATAACTTATACTTGCAATAGAATAATGTATACAAGAGGACGTGAAGAAACAGCTACCTCAAAAACAAAATCGCAGTGTCGTAAATCATGGACGATGGAATCTAGAAAATGATATCAGTTGACTAAATTATAATTCAATGCCTATAAAAAATTTTAGAAGACAATGCTAAGATTTCCAGACATTTAACTGAGAGAAAAATACATACCTTGTAAAAATACGACTTTCTTCATGCACATCCATTTCCGTGGCTTTGAAATCGTTTAATTCCTTCCTGATTAGTGCCTGAAGAGTTAGTGCTATCTATTGGTTATTGATCTTGCTTATACTAGTTACTGCAGAGAGAATTATCGTATCAAAATTCAAAACCTTATCAATAGGTGTAAGTCTTGTCCAAGGCTTATCACCTTTTCGATCATAAACTTCTGCTTCAGTCACTTCAACATAATCATTAAATTGAATGATCTGCTTGTCCTTCAGTTGCTGAACCGTTGGACGAAAACTTAGCTGAAAATATCTTTTTCCGCAAATTAAATGCTAGCCATTCAAATATTTATAGTTCAGAACATCAGTCAATACCTTTCGCAATAGAACTTTTCGTGTTTCATCCATTGCCTTTTTTGAGGATATCAAAGCATCTTTAGCTTTAAGAATGTTACGTTGTTCCAGTTCTTCAACAGAAGGACGTTCACTCAATTTTCTGAAATTTCAAAGATAGATTAGTTTTTTGTTGTACAACTGTATATCATTCCCATCAATGTTTTTCATTTTTTATTCCACCAGAAACCTATAAGAAGGAAAAATACGTACTCTTGATTGAAAAATTCTCGTTCTCGCCTAACAACTCATTGAATTGAAATAAAACCTTTCTAATTTGATACTAGCTTTGTGCATCAATCGCTTCCTATCATCCGATGTCTGATTAGGAATATCATCAATAGGTTCACGAACATTCAACATTTTTGCAAAGGTGTCTTTTCTTGCTACCCGTAATGCAAAACTGGCTTGAAATATATATAGATTTAAAATGATGCAAAGACAAAGAAACTAAATTTTATCCCAAATTATTTGTTATATAAGAAAAATATACTTTGCGGAACATCTTCATCATCTTCACTAGATAAGGAATAGGGCATAATACGACTTGCAATAGCAGGATTAGTGCTGTAGCCGATAAGATTGAGTTTATTGGTTTTACCATCACAGTACTGTATGTCTGTATCACTATCACTATCATCAGTTAATCTCGATGGTAATATCGTTTCTTGCATGCTAAATAAATATTTTGAATGCAGGAAAATAAGTTCTTATTTAAAACAAAAAACAAAATAAGCAGTTTATAATGGGCCTGATTAATCAAAAAACTTCACCTTAATAGTCTAGCAGAAAAATCGGAAGATGTAATTTCACTTGGCTGTGTTTTTCCATTCGAAGTTCTTTTTGCAAGCCTTAACCTGCTAGGAGCTCCAGGCTTTTTTAACACAGGTTTATTAGGCCGCGCTGAGAGATCAGGCTCTTTGGCAATTATTTCTTCAATTACTGCACCTTTCTTTTCTTCATCATTTATTTGAAAAATTGTGTAATTCCGGTCAGTAAACTGCTCATTATTTATCTTATCCTTCTCATCGAGATTCTTCACTAGAAAAACCCTGAGCTCTATTACTATTTTCTTGTGACTGACAGTTAAAAATTAGACAACAATCATGAATGTAATTCCAATCATCTCAAAAATTAGATTTATTTTTCTTTGCTTTGTTTCCATTTTAATAGATTTCATGTATAACTGCGTTGTTTATAAATCCTTTTTTCGCCAAACTATCAAATCTACAAAATAATGATTCAATACATTTGAAACTTATACTTTATGTTTTTGAAACGGCTATATGAACCGGTATGGCATATATAT